GCCTCTCTCATCTTTTTAAGTGGGAGAACCTGCACAATTGGTGGCTGACTAAATATTTTTTTGCCCCACTGTAGATGTTTGCTTTGCCCTGGAGATCCACAAAAACAGAGCTGTGCATCTCCTGAAAGTAGTGAAAGATGGTTTCATCCTTTGGAAACCAAGGAAGGATGTAATTAGAAGCACATTATAGGTAGTCCTTGTTTGGTGACCACTCGTTCAGCAACCGTTCAGAATTACAATGGTGCTGAACCAGGAGACTTAGGACCGTTTCTCATAGTTGTGGCCATCGCAGGGTCTCCGTGGTCACGTGATGGCAATTTGGATGCTTGGCAACTGGCTCACAACAATGACAGTCGCAACATTCCGCGGTCATGTGATTACCATTTGTGACCTTCACGGCCAGCTTCCAACAAGCAAAGTCAATAGGGAAGACAGCAGGTCACAAATGGCGATCACGTAACTGGGGGACTGCACAGGATTCGCCTAACGAAGGCAACTGGAATTGCCACAACTAGTGTCGTAAGTTGGTTCAATCATGCGACGTTGCGCTTTGCAACCATGCACTTAGCAACAGAGTTGCCAGTCCCAATTACCATAGTTAAGTAAGGACTACCTGTATATCCATGCCAAATCCATACTATTTAATATCTATACAAAACCAAAGGGAAAGGTCATCCATCAGTTCAGGGTAAAGTATTATTGTTACTCTGATGCTAAACTATATATTGCCACCTTTGCTCAGGCCAGAGATCCTGGGATATCTTGGCCCAGTATCTGGAGAATGTTGGGGACCAGAAGGGGAGAAACAAGGTCAGATTAAACTCTAATAAAATGGAGTTAATGTTTGTCCATTAACTTTTAGCCTTTTGAGAACTCTGATTCAAGAACTCTGTCCTAAACAGGGGCAGATCTGTGACTTGGGGAATCCTCCTGGTCTCATGGCTCCTGCTTGAATAGCTTTTGTCCATCACTGGCTGGTACACTAATTATGGCCCTACTCATGACCTTTTCACTGCATGCTTGGATGATTGCAACATGCTGCATATGGGGCTATCTTTGAAGACAACTCAGGACCCACAATGGGTACAGGCTGCTAGCTGGGGAAATCTGCTATTATAAGATAATACCCATTTTACAGTTGCTGCCCTGGTTACCAGTAGGCTTCCAGGCCCAATTCAAAGTGTTGGTTATTCTCTAGAAAGCCCTATACAACATAACACCAGAATACGTCAGGGATCACCTTACACAATAGGGTTCTGTGAGGACATCTAGGAAGATCTGGTCAACATTCCACCTTTGTGAGAGATGTGTGGACTACAAGACAGACACTCTCTCTGGTGGTCCCTATTTTATGGAGCACACTGCCCCCAGAAGTGCACTAAGATCTTTCACTACTGGCATTCAAGGAAGCACTGGTGTTTGACAGCTACCTAATGAGTACTAGATGATCATTCTTCATGGTTTTTGCTATATTTTAATGACTGGAATACCTATTTTATGTTCATGTTTTATTGTATGGCATCCAGAATCCTTTGATGGGACAGTGTAAAAATGGCTATAAATAAAAACAAATAAACAAATGTTCTTGGATAAACAGGAAAAGCAGTAAATACAGAGGAAGCCAGGTTTGTGTTAAGTAAGACTGGGTAGCCTATGGCCCACATGGGGATCGCCAAAGCTTCCTAGGATAAACTTGCTGAAATTAGAGGCAAAATTACCATTTCCAGCAGCATGATTTCTTGGGGCCTTTTTCCAACAATTTAAGTTGTAAAATATGCATTAAATCTCCAGTGAGGAAGGTAGAGAAGCCTGGTCCCATTACACAATCAGCATTACTGGCCATTGGGGGGGGGGGAACCAGTTTAAAGACCAATTTAAAAAATAAATAAAAATGCAGCCCCTTGAGGAAAAAAGTCATCTGCCCCTCACAGAATGCTAGTTCTGGAAGGGGCCATTTAGGCCATGCATTCCAACTCCCTGCTCAAAGCCAAACAAATCAGAATCCAAGCATCCCCAACACATAGTGGTCTAGGGTCTCCATGAACATTTCCGCTGAAGGGGGACTGGCCAACTCTCGAAACGCCTGCCTCCACTGCCAAACTGCTCTGGCTGCTAGGAAGCCTTTCCTACAGTTTGTCTGGAATCTGTCTTCCTGCATTTTGGAATATTACCATGCCAGGCATGTCTTGTCCTATATATCAGACCCTTGCCACATGATTCCTAAGTGAAGAACTTGACTGATTTGTGTTAAGCTTCATTTTCTTTTTTTCAACCACTTCTTTAACTAACAGGTCCATTCTAAATTTTGTTTCTGACTTCAATGGTATTAGCTATCTCACCCATTCTCTGTCGTCTGAAAACCTGATAAGTACACCCTCTGTTCCACTCATCCAGGCTTTATTATTAAAATACTAAACTCGTAACACTTCTCTTGACCAATTCACTGAACACTCTCTGAAACACCGAACTGGGATGTCATCGAACTCGCATTGCAATAACTCACTAATCAGAATGCCTTGACATATTTCACAAAAAGCTTTGCCAAAATCACGGCAATACTGTGTCCACAATACTCCCATGATATACTGCGATAAAGGGAGGAAAAGTTAGCTTGACACGTTCAAGATGACCCTGCACTATTTCCAAGATCTCAAAGACTAATTGTGATGAACAACTGTCCAGAATGTTCTCTGTAATGTCAGATGGAGTAAGTCCATGGATTCGCCTTTTCCCCTCTTTTGGAAGAACAGGACACGTGCCATCTCTCAGCCCTCTGGGCCATTAAGGATCCTTCCAAGGTTACGACTACAGGCCCCTCGGATCCATTCTGTGCTCGCAGCAGGGCATTACCTCATAAACTCGATTGCGATACTCAGCCACCGAGAGCTGCACATCATCAGCAAGAGGAAGGGTCACATTGTAGTCTAGAGCAGGTTCTTTGGCAGCACAGTGGAACCTACAGAGAGACGGCCTGGTGAGCACAAAGGTAACCAAAGAAGGCTGAAACAGGCACAGGAATAGCTTTGCACACTGATCTCGCAGCACAGGAGAGACAGAATGGCTGCACCCAAGCTCCATGGAGCTTTCACCTTTGCACATAGGGATGCTCCAGCGCCTCCTCTGCCGTTATCCGCTTCTCAGGGTTAAACACCAAGAGCTGTTTCAGAAGGTCCAGGGCCTGGGGAGGGGTGGAGGCAGGCAAAAGTTCCTCCAGGGTCAGCTGGGGCCTGCAGTCAGACAAAAAACATGCTGCAGTTCCAATCCATAGAGCACTCCCAGCCAGCCTTACCCGGTGCCCTTGCTAGGGTGAAAGGGTGAAACTTCTCTGGAACTGTGATCCTTTCAGCAAACGAAAACACTCACTGGCAGCTCGCACGGTTGATAACAGAGGCTCGGTAGACAGAATGGAAGGCCTCCAGATCTGCAAAGCAAAGCAACAGATCGGGGTCCCTGAGAGAAGGAAGAGCCTTCGACCTAAGCAGCACCTGCTTAGGGCCCAGCTTCAGACAACAAAAAGTTACCGATTCTCTCCTTCCCTGATCTTTCAGGCATGTCACCACGTAAGAGGGGGAGACTCCAGCAGGAGTTAGGCCAGAAGACTGCTCTCCCAAATGAGAAAACACCACAAGGGCCAGAGACCACCTTCTCCAGCTGGAATCAACCCCCCTGATCCCAGGGAAAATGCAATGATCGCATACAACTGGGATGCAAGGGGGATGAGGTCAGTGGCCCTGCCTTGGCCAGGCTATGGAACAGCCTCCTCGTTGACCTCAGGGTGGCCTCTACAATGTTGGCCATGCCCCTTCCCAACCTTAACCTAACCCTAACCCTTCATCCAAAGCCTCTGAACTTTCCCCTCACCCTCCATGCAGGCAATTTAGCCAATGGCCACTCCTGCCATGCCCTCCAGGACCCAGCCTCCTCCTCCTATCAGGCCCTGGCAGGTTGAGGATACCCCTGCTGTACTCTCACTGCCCCTGGGAGGGGCCCCTCTACAAGTCATTCTCTGTTCTACGGATCAAGGACAACCTGTTTGTCCATCGGTGCACTTGATCCATGGACCTGGCTGCCTTCCCTTCCCACTTCAGTCTCTGCTTACTAGGTGAAAGCAGACACTCATTCCCCCTGGTGGGCAATCAGCTGCCCTCAGGACAAGCCCTGACTTTACCGTCGGCAGCTATTCAGCAGGCCACCTGTCCATCTACTCCTTAGAACACACAGCTTCTCAGGTCAGTCTTCTGTTAAAGCCCTTGACGGCTCATTCAGTAGGGGGTTTCCATGGAACTCCCGTTGGCTTCCACCTCTCCCTTAAGAAGGTTCCCTCAGGGTCTCATCTGTAGGGACCACTGAGGAGGGCCTTCTCAGCTTTTCCAGCATGGCCTAGGGTCTGAGAGGACAACTTTCATGCCTCCTGCAGGGTGGAGAGTTTTACAGAATGGTTGTTGGCACTGCCTGGTATATTTGGGTAAATACTACTTAGTTTTTAATTGGGTTACACTACTGGGTATCTCCCCTTCATGGATCACTGCCTTGTCGTGGCGAAGGGGCTTGCGTAACTCAGTGA